CCCTACATCTTAGAAATTCTTTTAGAGAAAACCTAGTGGTGGAAAACACACTCAGTTTCTGTATGTGTGAAAACATCTCTTTTGCTCTCATTCCTGGAATAGAGTTTTGCTGAGTATACAATTCCAAATTACAGTTATTTTCTCTGGGCATTTTGCAGACACTTAGTCTTCCACTCTCCTACGGCTTTTATGGTCGCTGTGAAAAGTTTTTTCAAATCCGTCTGGTCGCCTTGTAGCATGCCTTATCCTTAATATTACTATAAAATCTCTTTTTAATTTTAAAACCATATGAACATGTATATCATATTTCATATCTAATAATTCCAAGTCTCTGTGGGTCTAATTCTGCTATTTATTCTTTCTACTTCTTTCACTCATGGTGCCTTGCTTCTCGATAGTAAGACCATGTCTGTAAAACTTCCTCTGATACTTCTTGAAGGTCTGGATAAACGTTTATTTTGCCAAAGAGGATATACATTTGCTTTTGCAGGACACCCGAGAACTACCAAGTCAGTACAGTACTACTGTAAACTAAATTCTTACGTGATTTTTGTTCTTTGGGATCACACAAGTGTGTACAAATTCAAGCTGTAAATCTGCATGATGCCTGGCTTACGTTGTGGATGCTCAGGGAAGGCTCTTATTTAATTTTTTATTCCCTTTACCCAGAGCCAGTGTAGAGGCAGAAAAGTTTCCTCTCCATTTCCCTTTACAGGCTGGATTTTTTTCGCATTCAGTCTTTTACTGAGAAGTAGCCTTCTCTACCTCTCGAGAGCCTTAGATGTTGCCTCTCATACCAAGCATGAAAATGATAAACCCAAAGAATAGTTCACTGTTAGGTTTCCCCAGCATAACCTTGGCCTTCAGGCAGCTTATTTACTTCTCTAGAGTCCTGCTCTTTTCTTTTTTGAATCTAAGGATTCTCCTTATTCTTGACAGCTGATCTATATAATTAAGTAGACTTTTTATTTAAGTGTTTTATCCAGCACTTTAGGAGTTTAAATGAGGGGGATTGCCAAGATATGTAATCTGTCATCTTATCAGAAAGAGAAAATAAACTGCCTCTTTATTTCTACTTATGTATTTGAATACACTGCCAAATATAAAACTGACAGATCAAGGAACAGAATTAGTTTCATGGCTTTTTTTTTCGTACTACAAAATACAGTGATGAAAATTAATTAATACTACATTTAAATAGTGTGCTTGAGAAGATCCGTAGATTCTATGTCTATTTTGCTACAAAGAAGTTACCTATTAATACTGAATAAAAATTATGGGGCTTTTATCACGTCTGAAATAAAACATGACCCTAGTTTGAATTTTTATAACTTATTTTCTAAAAGAATAGTTACAAATCTTTTTTTAAAATAAAATCAGTAATAACTGGGTTAATCAAAGCAGAGATAAAATATGTAACTAGTTTCATTTAATCAATTGTGCTAATGTTTTTACTCAGTTTTTGCTTTTGGTAAAAAAGCATAAAAGCTGACATTTCTAAAACTTTAGTATGAAAAAGAATGTAGATTCTAATCTTTAGAATATAGGCCAAGACACTACAAAACACCTCAGGGAATACAGATTATAACTTAAATTTAAGCATGTAACATGCTTCTGTCACAGATTTCTTACTGTCTCACCAATTGCTATACCTCACCTATAGTCTATAGGAAGATAAGAAAATCATTCTTATACCAAGGATCACTTAAAACTGGAAGAAACTGAAGAGGAAAGTTATATAACCTTGCACTCAAAGTATTTAAGTGTGCATGACTTCGTGTAAAACACCAGAAAATGTAAATGAGCGAACGTCAATGATTTAATCATTCAATGAGGACTTGAAGCATTAATGAATTTCATTCTTAAAAACTAACCTTGGCCATTTCACATCTAGTAGGACGATTATAACAAAAAGTAAAAAAGTAGTTAATAATAAGTGTTGGCAAAGAATGGAGTTATCGGAATCCTCATACGATGCTGGTGGGAATGTACGCTGTCATATATAAAATGGTGCCATCACTTTGGAAAATAGTCCGGTAGTTCCTCAAGAAATTAAATATAGAATTATCATTTGAAACAGCAATTCACCGCTAAATATATGCCAAAGAGAAATTAAAACATATGTTCGCACAAAAACTTGCATACAAATGTTCATAGCAGCATTATTCATAACTGCCAAAAGATGAAAACAACCCAAATGTCCATCAACTGATTTATGGATAAACAAAATGTGTTGTATCCATACAATGAAATATTATTCGGCCAGAAAAAGCAAAGTAGTACTGATTCATGCTACAATAAGCTTAAACCTAAAAAACGTTGTACTAAGTGAAAGAAACCATACACAAAAGACCACAGATTATGTGATTCAACTTATATGAAATGTCCAGAAAGGACATTTAAATACAGAAAGTAGGTCAGTGGTTCTTTAGGGCTTGGAGGTTGATGAGCTTGGGAAGTAATAAGTAAAAGGTTCATAGTTTCTTTCTGAGGTAAGAAAAATGTTCTAAAATTGGTTGTGGTGATGGTTCCATAACTCTGTGAATACACTAGAATCACTGATTTGTACACTTCAAACGGGTGAACTGTATAGTGTGTGAATTATATTGCAATAGAGCTATTAAAATATAAAACATGCAGATAAAACAGATTCTGTGGCTATCCTATAAACTGCCTTGAAAAGGCTTCTGACAAGGTGGCACAGACACTATTTCTAAGGGAACCGAGTCACCACAGGACTGTGACCCTCTTTCCCCTTTGAGTAGATACTATCTTTGAAGTAAGAAACAAAAGTAGGGATAAAAGGATTATGTTGATATTTTAAAACCATGATTTCTTAGTGTCCAGGTTGACAATCACATTATACTCTTCCTGACAATAAAATGTTTAGTTGATGAGAATAAACCAAAGGGCTTAACACTGGCAGCTGTAAACTCTGGCTCTACCCGATATGCTAAATTACTCAGGGAAATTATGAAGACTTTGTATGGCAAGGCTCTAGGCATAAAGGCTCACTATCAAATGACCTGAAGACAAATTACATTTGTGAACTTGAACATATGCCTGTGCACGAGCAGCGAGGGCAGTGCTGGGATTGACTGTGGAAGCGAAAAATAAAAAGGATTTTTCTCCAGCTAGAAAGAAGGCTTGACACTCGGCGGGGGGTATGGGAGATACTCGCATAGGGACGGCAGCGATCCATCCTGGCAGGGCTGGGAGTCTCGGAAGGTATATGGGCCCCTGAGAGTGTGAGCTAAATCTGAGTGGGGAAGAAAACTGGTCTGTCCTCTGAGGTTCTCTCTCCCCTTCCAGGGCAAGAAACAACAGGCCTGCTGAGGATGGAAAAAGAGTTAAAGTCCTGCTTTTCAATGCTACCTGAAGGAAGGAAAAAGAAGACATTCCAGAAACAGAGCTGAAGAGACAAGGTCACTCCCGACAAGACCAGCTACGTGACTGGAGGGCCCAGTGCAAAATCAAAGTGTGGGGGGCCTTGTTCATGAACTACTTAGCATTCCAGAACAGTGAAGGCAGAGCATTAAACCAAACGTGGGGCTCTTCTAAGTGGGGGGATCTCGGACACCTGTGAGGCCTGACCCTTAAGTAGTAAGAACAGAAGGCACAGAAAAATATAAAACTGGAAAATCAAGATCATCTAATCCCCCACCATCCAGGGACAGCCACTGTTATCATTTTGGTGTCTATCCCAGAGACTTTTCTATATACATATACACTTGCAGATGTTGACTCATACTGTTTTTTATATTATGGAAATAATATATTGCACATTCTCTTCTGTGGCCTTTTTAAAATTGAATACATTAAGGAGTGCTTTCAAAACTGTTAGTAAATACAGATCATTTCAATCCTATTGTACAGATCAATCCTATTGTACAGATTACAGAACATATAGATCCATGTTCCATTTAACCAAATTCGTATTGTTAGCCTTCTGAAGGGTCTTGAGTTAATCATTATTAAAAATGATGATCACTGAAAATCAATAAAATTGAGTATTGAATGAGTCAATCAGTATAAGCACTTGGCAATTAAGTTTTCTATAAATGTTAGTGATTTTTTTTAATACTGCCTCCTATATAAACACTGTACTAATTTACATTTCCAACAGCAGAATAAAAGAGGTTGACTCTTCTAAATCCTTGCTAATCCTTTCAAATTTTGCCTTTTGCATTTCTTCTATGAATTATTTATTCATATTCTTTGTCAATTCGCTTATTGGATTCCTTATGCTTTTAAAATTTTAGCTGATTTCTAAATTTGGGGATACCAATCCTCTGTCATATAAATAACAAGTACTTTCTTTTCAAAAAAAAAAAAAAGAAAGAAAGGAAAGAAAAGAAAAAGAATAATTAATTTAAGACTTACCTCCAGTTCCTAGGACTTTGAGGAGCTCAAAATTTTCAATCCCCACCTTCTCTGCATGTCCTGTTAAATTTGCTAAAAAAACAAAAAACAAAAAAAAACAAAGAGGAAAAAGAAATAAATAAGGGGATCAGCAATAGGAGGGGACCTCATGGGGGCTTTCGAGATACCAGCAATGTTTTATTTCCTGACTTGGATGGTTGAGCCAGTGTTCACTTTATAAGTACTTGTTAAACTGTACAGTTATGTTCTGTATAATTTTCTGTATGCTATACATTACAACAAAACTGTTTCAGAATTCTGTAAGTATATATTATTTGTACCAAGGTTGACATAAAAATAAAGTATTAATAGACTCTCTTAGCCAATGCAATCTGAAAATATACACAAATTCTAATATGTAGATAGATATGCACTGGAAAGAAAACTGGACAGATTTAGAAGATTTATTCACGTATTCAACAAATATTCACTAAGTGTCTACTAAATGCCAACACCAGGTCCTAGACTGAGTTCTATTCCCATATCTGTCACTAAGCACCTGAACATGATTTAGCCAGCATTAGTCAATTGGCAACCTTGTGTCTCAGTTCTTTGATCTCTCAAATGAACGAGTTGGTCTCAATAAACTCTAAGATCTTGGCCAGCTCTAAAATTCTAGAATTATGTTTAAAAATATAAATTCTTCAAAAACATGTTCTTTCCTAAATAAACAAAATAAAAATATCTTCTAAATGAGTATTTGCCAAAGTATATTCCATTGAATTAAGTACGGTCCTATCGTATGAGATGTTAGCGGGTGTTAGGTTTAGGGGAAAGGTGCTTTCAAGTTAAATAAGCTGGAAAATTGTTGGCTTAAACAAAGTTAAACAGATTTCTATATTGCTGAACTTCAGAGATCCCATACCATGAAAATACGCATATGACTCTTTAAGACTGAGATACCTATTAATACTATGTGAACCAGCATTCCACAGGTGTGGTTAAGGCAGGCTTGGTCCAAATCCTAGGTCTACCACTTTAAAGCTGTGTGACCTTGAACAAATTACTTTTCTATGTCTCAGGTCTCTGTAGTATAAAATGGGGAAGATAAAAATACCTACCCTCAAAGCGTATCGATATCTGCATTTTACTTTAAAATTCATTAAAAAAAATAAGTTGGGTAATGGATTAATATAAGTATGAATATATATGCGACGAAGCATTACAACAAAATGTTAATTACAGAATCTATATTGTGAGTACAAGTGTGTTCGACATATACTTCTTTAAAATTCTCTGTATATTTGAGAATGTCCATAATGGCAGAAAATAATACCTACCTAATAGAGTTGTGATGAAGATTAAATAAGTTAAATTTACACAGTACTTGCTGTGCCAGTAAAGGTTTATAAATAAATTAATGTTTTGAGACCATAACTTCAAGAAAATTAGACCCAACTAAGAACTTCTAGAATTAAAAATTTCAGGGGATAAATAAATCATCTTTCCAAAGTTTAACTAAATGAATTAAGAAAATTTTTTAATTGTGGTCAAAAACACATAACATAAAATTTACCATCTTAACCATTTTTAAGTGTACATTATGGTGGTGTTAACCTTATAACACTGTCTGAAATAGATCTCTACAACTTTTTCATTTTGTAAAACAAACTCTATGTCCATTGAACAACAACTCTTTTCCTTTCCCCCCAAGCCCCTGAGAAATAGCATCTTCTTTTTATTTCTAAGAATTTGACTGTTAATGCTTAATTTTATAGTGGAAACAAATCAGTGTACAAGGCCCATGCCTCCAGTTCACAGTGACATCAATACAGAGCTCAAATGAATAACAAAAACACAGGTAGTATCTTAGTAAACACACAATAGCATAACCTCCTGTAGTACGTCAAGCACATTGTTAGAAGCCCAGCTCAACAGAAACCACCACTTTTGAAATACTGATTTGGCTCTATTCTAATTGAATGTTAAATTCTGTTGTTTTATTACGCAAAAATTTTTTAAAGTATAAGATGTTACTAAAGAGTCGTATGTTGAAAATGTTAAACATTATTACTCCTGCTGCTATTAGGAGTCATCTTTTACTTACCGTTGATATGTAAAGGCCCAGCTTTCTGAAAGCACTGTCCATACACTATATTGCTCCCGTAACTACATTTGTAGCTAGACTAGGAAGATAAAGAACTATCTTTTGATACACAGTCACTTCAGCCTTTCTTTACTAACCATTGAATTGCTTTCATAGGAAATTAAAAGAGATCACAGATTAACTCCACTTTGCTCTGCGAAGCATAGCATCTAGGAAAGCCTGGTCATTCACGGAGGTCTTTCAGATGACCTGTGAAGGCCCGTTTCTATTCATCACCTACCACCTCTACTATGTGGTTTCTGACACAAATTAACACTTTACGTGCAAGGGAAAAATTCTTTTTTCCAATCCACTGGGAAAAAGAACTGACAGGGCTCAAGATGAAGGGAACCCATGCCTCCGAGGGGCAGTGGTGAAGGTGTCTACCTAAATGAGGGGTTTTAGCTCTGGTTTCTTCGAGGCATATTCTCTTTGGCATCTCCTCTCTTTGGCTTGCCTGCTGAGAGCTTATTTAGACTATTGCTTTACTATCAAGATCGTTCCCAGGTGGCTGGTGAGGTAAGGCAGAACTTGGGAAAGATTTTTCCCTTCCTCAAACCTCAAACCCCTATCCTGGGAAACCCCAATAGCACTGGGCTTGGAAAGAGCTTACCCCTGGGCTTATAAAAACATGCTCTTTTTCACCTCGAGTTCCTCCTAGAGTTTACTGTTCCTGGCCTTTTCTTAACAATGATGAGAGGCCAGTGAACAAGATTAATATCTGCTTAGGGCAAAGGGGCCAATAAATCTTAGGCAGATCCATGTGGTTCAGCTCAACTTATCAAACGCAAGGTTTCACTTTGGGTGCTTTAAAGATCGAGCTTGTCATAATGTACTCCTTTACTTCTTTTCGTCTTCTGTCTTAATCTCACTTGGGCACCAAGCAGTTGTAATGACAACAGGGTCGAATACGAAGATCTTAATCTTGGTAAGAGTGCTCAAAGCTATTATCTGGGACTGTTAGACAACATTTCTCTGCTTCATGTCTTTCTACTCCGAAGATATGAAAAACAATAACCTTTTTATTTAAAAAAATAATTATAATTTCACTAGTGTTGAAACAGAAATAATTATTATTCACCATTTAACCTTTTTTATTATTTTGCTTTTGAAGAACTGAGAAAGAGAAGCAAACAGTTCATGAGTCATTTTTTGCTCAAAGAGAAAATTAACTGAAGATATTTGAGCACCAACAATCTAACATTTTTAAGTTTTATTGAGGTATCATTTACATACAATAAAATTCACATATTTAAATGAACAGTTGGATGAATTTGGGTACTTATATTATAGTCATGATATCTCCACTGCAATGAGATATAAAACAGTGTCATCATCCTGAAAAATTTCAGGAAGTCCTTTTGAAGCTAATCAATCACCAGACCACTGGCTCAGGCAACTAATGATCTAATTCCAGTCATTACAGTTTTAATTTTTCTAGAATTTCACGTAGATGAAATCACACAGTACATAGTTTTTTTACATTCAATTTCATTCACTTAACCTAATGCTTCTGAGTTTCATCCAGGTTTGTGTGTGTTTCTACTATATTCCTTTATATTACAGAGTTGTATCCCATAGCACTGATACACCACGACTGGCTTTTCCACTCACTAGCTGAGGGACCATGTTAGTCAGATTTATATTGTGTGCAGTTTGGGGCTATGATGAAGTATTTTTGTGGACATGTTTTTATTTCTCTTGAGTAAACACCTAGGAATGAGATGGTTGCATATATGGTATGTCCATTCTACCTTGATGCTATTTTATTAAAGTGGCTCTACTATCTCGCATTCCCACCAATAATGTCTGAGAGGTCCATTTGCTCCGCATCCTCTTCAGGACATGGTAATACCAGACTTTTTCATTTTAACCATTCTTGTGGCTGTGAAGTGGTATCTAATTGTTTGCAGACTTTTTAGAGCAGTTTTAGGTTCATGACAAAATTGAGCAAAAGATCCACATATTTCCCTTAAAGCCTCTGTCCCCACTCATTAACAGCCTCCATCACTACCAACATCCCCCACCGTGGTGGTACATTTGTGACAACTGATGAACCTACACTGACATATCATCATTACCCAAAGTTCATAGTTTACATTAGCGTTCACTCTGGGTGTTGTTCATTCTGTGGGTTTGGAGAAATGTATCTAACATTGCAGTATTTAGTATTATACACAGTAGTTTCACTGTCCTAAAAATCCTTTACACTCTACCTATTCGTCCTGCCTCCCCCCGCACCCTTGGCAACCACTAATCTTTTTACTGTCTCCATAGTTTTGCCTCTTCTAGAATGTCTTAAAGTTGGAATCATGCAGTACTGTAGCTTTTTCAGACTGGCTTCTTTCACTTAGTAATATGCACTTAAGCTTCCCCCATGTCTTTTCATGACTTGATTTTTCTTTTTTTAGTGCTGGATAATATTCTGTTGTCTGGATGTTATAGGGCTTATTAATCCATTCACCTATGAAGGACATCTTGGTTGCTTCCAGGTTTGGGTAGTTATGAAGAAAGATGCTATTAAATATCCTTGTGCAGGTTTCTGTGTCAACATAAGTCTTCGACTCCTATGGGTAAATACCAAGGACTACAAATGGGTCATGTTGTAAGAGTATGTCTAGTGTTATAAGAAACTGCCAAAGTGACTCTGCATTCCCAAGAACAACAAATGGGAGCTCCTATTGCTCCAAATTTTCACCAGCATTTGGTGATGTCAGTATTCTGGATTTCACTGATGACTTACGATGTGGAGCATTTTTTCATATACTCACTTGCCACCTGTATATCTTTTTTGGAGAAGTGTCAATTCTTGGCCCATTTTTTAAAAAATTAAGTTGTTTATTTTCTTATTGTTGGGTTTTAAAAATTCTTTGTATATTTTGGATAACAGCCATTATCTGTTCTCTTTTGAAAATATTTTCTTTTAGTATGTGACTTGTCTTCTCAT